TGATACACACGGCCCCTAGTGAATTACAGAGCGGAGGTATCGCTCCCACTCTGAGATGATACACACGGCCCCTAGTGAATTACAGAGCGGAGGTATCGCTCCCACTCTGAGATGATACACACGGCCCCTAGTGAATTACAGAGCGGAGGTATCGCTCCCACTCTGAGATGATACACACGGCCCCTAGTGAATTACAGAGCGGAGGTATCGCTCCCACTCTGAGATGATACACACGGCCCCTAGTGAATTACAGGGCGGAGGTATCGCTCCCACTCTGAGATGATACACACGGCCCCTAGTGAATTACAGAGCGGAGGTATCGCTCCCACTCTGAGATGATACACACGGCCCCTAGTGAATTACAGAGCGGAGGTATCGGGGCAGGTCCTCACCACTGGCTGGTAGAGGTCGGTCGTCTGAATGCTACTGTGAGAATATTGTTTGCTTTTTTCTACCCGTGTAAATTAAACTTTTATAGATGGTCTTAATTACAAGTTATACAGTGCATTTGGAAAGTATTAAGACCCCTTTACTTTTTCCACATTTTGTTACGTTGCAGCCTTATTCTAAAATGTATTAAAATGTCCTCATCAATCTACACACGATATCCCATAATGACAAATCAAAGACAGATTTGGAGACATTTTTGCAAATGTATTAAAAATAAAAAACAGAAATACCTTATTTACATAAGTATTCAGACCCTTTGCTATGAGACTCGAAATTGAGCTCAAGTGCATCCTGTTTCCATTGATCATCCTTGAGATGTTTCTACAACTTGATTGGAGTCCATCTGTGGTAAATTCAATTGAATGGACATGATTTGGAAAGGCACACACCTGTTTATATAAGGTCCCACAGTTGACAGAGCAGAAACCAAGCCATGAGGTCGAAGGAATTGTCCGTAGAGCTCCGAGACAGGATTGTGTCGAGGCACAGATCTGGGGAAGGGTACCAAAAAATGTCTGCAGCATTGAAGGTCCCCAAGAACACAGTGGCCTTTTAAATGGAAGAAGTTTGGAACCACCAAGACTCTTCCTAGAGCTGGCTGCCCGGCCAAACTGAGCAATCGGGGGAGAAGGGCCTTGGTCAGGGAGGTGACCAAGAACCCGATGGTCCTTCCAGAAGGACAAACATCTCTGCAGCACCACCAATCAGGCCTTTATGGTAGAGTGGCCAGACGAAAGCCACTCCTCAGTAAATGTTTGCCAAAAGGCACCTAAAAACTCTCAGACCATGAGAAACAAGTTTCTCTGGTCTGATGAAACCAAGATTGAACTCTTTGGCCTGAATGCCAAGTATCACGTCTGGAGGAAACCTGGCACCAACCCTACGGTGAAGCATGGTGGTGGCAGCATCATGCTGTGGGGGATGTTTTTCAGCGGCAGGGACTGGGAGAGTAGTCAGGATCGAGGGAAAGATGAACGGAGCAAAGTACAGAGGTCCTTCATGAAAACCTGCTCCAGTGCGCTCAGGACCTCAGACTGGGGGCGAAGGTTCACCTTCCAACAGGACAACGACCCTAAGCACACAGCCAAGACAACGCAGGAGTGGCTTCAGGACAAGTCTCTGAATGTCCTTGAGTGGCCCAGCCAGAGCCCGGACTTGAACCTGATCAAACATCTCTGGCGAGACCTGGAAATAGCTGTGCAGCGATGCTCCCCATCCAACCTGACAGAGCTTGAGAGGATCTGCAGAGAAGAATGGGAGAAACTCCCCAAATACAGGTGTGCCAAGCTTGTAGCGTCATACCCAAGAAGACTCAAGGCTGTAATCGCTGCCAAAGGTGCTTCAACAAAGTACTGAGTAAAGGGTCTGAATACTTATGTAAATGTAATATTATAGATTTTTATTTTTTTATACATTTGCAAAAATGTTGAAACACCTGTTTTTGCTTTGTCATTATGGGGTATTGTGTGTAGATTGATGAGGGGGAAAAAACAATTTTATCAATTTTAGAATAAGGCTGTAATGTAACAAACTGTGGAGAAAGTCAATGGGTTTCCCAGACTAGCCATGGACTTAAAACAAAGGTCTCTGGGAATCTTCCTTGAAAGAGCATTTTAGTCCAGGACTCTGCTTGATCCGTGTCCAGGAAACCAGCCCTTTATGTGTACTTACATTGGTTTAACGTCATCATCAAGGAATTCAATATGGCTGTTGTTAACAACTAAGACGGGCCATCCACTAAGGAGATTATTTCATATCTTCTATTCATCAAAATTGTCCTCATTCTGTCAAAGTTAATTTACAATCATATCTGTATATCTGAGTTGTGTGAATTATTCAGTGTTTGATTATTGTCTGTGTATGTGACTGTGTGGGAGAGAGAAGAGCGGATGGACCATCATGATGTTGAGTGTGATGTCATGTCTTCTTCCCACCACTGTGAGAGGAGGTGGTGTTTGGCTCAGGAGTTAACTGCTGTTACTTCTTCCCATCACTGTGAGAGGAGGTGGTGTTTCTTCCCATCACTGTGAGAGGAGGTGGTGTTTGGCTCAGGAGTTAACTGCTGTTACTCTGACTGACTCCCAATAGATCCATGTACAGCATAGTGGCTGATCATCATACTGAAATTAACTTTTACTCCTGATCACTTTTGTTTCCTGTTTTATTCATCATTCCAACAGGAGTAAAACAAATCAATACAATCACTCTCTCTTTACCTGAGTCTTACACACATGATTGTGGATAAATCTGTCAAAAATAAACTGATACATGTGGTTTCATATCTAAACTGATACATGTGGTTTCATATCTAAACTGATACATGTGGTTTCATATCTAAACTGATACATGTGGTTTCATATCTAAACTGATACATGTGGTTTCATATCTAAACTGATACATGGTATACGTGGTTAAACTGATACATGGTTTACGTGGTTTCATATCTAAACTGTTGGAGTAAGCGTTCTATTCAATTGTACAGCGGAAGTTAAGCACTAATTTAAATTTAAAGGCAATGTTCCTATGTTGGCGGAGACTGCATTCACGGTAATAATAATAATATGCCATTTAGCAGACGCTTTTATCCAAAGTGACTTAGTCATGTGTGCATACATTTTTACGTATGGGTGGTCCCGGGGATCGAACCCACTACCCTGTCGTTACAAGCGCCATGCTCTACCAGCTGAGCTACAGAGGACCACGATGGTAACCATTTGCATATATTGGCTCAATCGGAAATGACCTTTACATTTCTACTGCGCAATCTGTAACGCTTCAGTGATCCAGATTGAATAGAGCTCTGAATCCTTCATTATCCCTGTACCGGTTTCAGTGATCCAGATTGAATAGAGCTCTGAATCCTTCATTATCCCTGTACCGGTTTCAGTTAACCAGATTGAATAGAGCTCTGAATCCTTCATTATCCCTGTACCGTTTCAGTGAACCAGATTGAATAGAGCTCTGAATCCTTCATTATCCCTGTACCGGTTTCAGTGAACCAGATGGAATAGAGCTCTGAATCCTTCATTATCCCTGTACCGGTTTCAGTGAACCAGATTGAATAGAGCTCTGAATCCTTCATTATCCCTGTACCGGTTTCAGTGATCCAGGATTGAATAGAGCTCTGAATCCTTCATTATCCCTGTACCGGTTTCAGTGATCCAGATTGAATAGAGCTCTGAATCCTTCATTATCCCTGTACCGGTTTCAGTGATCCAGATTGAATAGAGCTTTGAATCCTTCATTATCCCTGTACCGGTTTCAGTGAACCAGATTGAATAGAGCTCTGAATCCTTCATTATCCCTGTACCGGTTTCAGTGATCCAGATTGAATAGAGCTCTGAATCCTTCATTATCCCTGTACCGGTTTCAGTGATCCAGATTGAATAGAGCTCTGAATCCTTCATTATCCCTGTACCTGTTTCAGTGATCCAGATTGAATAGAGCTCTGAATCCTTCATTATCCCTGTACCGGTTTCAGTGATCCAGATTGAATAGAGCTCTGAATCCTTCATTATCCCTGTACCGGTTTCAGTGATCCCCAGATTGAATAGAGCTCTGAATCCTTCCTTATCCCTGTACCGGTTTCATGATCCAGATTGAATAGAGCTCTGAATCCTTCATTATCCCTGTACCTGTTTCAGTGATCCAGATTGAATTAGAGCTCTGAATCCTTCATTATCCCTGTACCGGTTTTCAGTGATCCAGATTGAATAGAGCTCTGAATCCTTCATTATCCCTGTACCTGTTTTCAGTGATCCAGATTGAATAGAGCTCTGAATCCTTCATTATCCCTGTACCGGTTTCAGTGATCCAGATTGAATTAGAGCTCTGAATCCTTCATTATCCTGTACCTGTTTCAGTGATCCAGATTGAATAGAGCTCTGAATCCTTCATTATCCCTGTCCCTAAGTAGTGGGTCAATACATTCACTTTGAGGTCAAGTTGGTTCTGCAGCAACATTAAGGCAGTATTTTGACAATCTGTCAGAATAGTTACTGACCATGTGAAGGACATTTTGGGAAGAGGGGGGCATTAGGAACAGAGAGGAGGGGAGAGGAGAGGAGGAACAGTGGTAGGGAGGAGGAGGGGAGGAGGAACAGTGGTAGAGAAGGAGAGGCGGGGAGAGGAGGGGAGGAGAGGAGGAACAGTGGTAGAGAGGAGAGGAGGGGAGGGGAGAGGAGAGGAGGAACAGTGGTGGGAGGAGGAGGGGAGGGGAGGGGAGGGGGAGGGGAGGGGAGGGGAGAGGAGGAACAGTGGTGGAGGAGGAGGAGGGGAGAGGGGGAGGAACAGTGGTGGAGGAGGGGAGGGGAGGGGAGAGGAGAGGAGGAACAGTGGTGGAGGAGGGGAGGAGCAGTGGTAGATGTACTCTTGCATCACATCAGATAACACACTGTAGATAATGGTGTCTGTTCTATGATTGTCAGCAGCATGACATCTAAACAGTTCAGCATTGATGTAAAAAAATACACACTGATGATTGTCTCATCACAGTGATTCTCTGAATGTCTTAGGGATGTGTGTGTGTGTGTGGGGGGGGGGGGGGGTTGTCATTCTGTGCCGAAGTACTTCTGTCCAAAGTGTGTGGGGGCGACGGGGTGCAGCTCTGTGGTGAGCAGGGTGATGTCTGGGAACTCTTGGAGGATGGCCTTGGCTCCTAGAGAGAGGAGTAGAGAAAGGAGGGGTTATAGTGAGAGAGAGGGCGTGGCAGTCATTACATTTTGTCAGCCGGTGATTGTCAAGCAAATAACTGCCAGTCTCACGGTAATTGACCGTTAATTAACAAACACATTTAGCATCTCCTGGCTTCCACACACAGCCTACTGTGACGAATACTGAGATACGAAGAGGTAGGACGCAGACGCAGGAATTAACAAGGTCAAGGTTTCCTTAATAATGACAACGAGAAATAACAAAGAGAGAGTAAACGACACGAAGCTAAACAATCACACACAACATCATCCAGAACAGTCCAGGGCTAAATAGGGGTGGTGATGAGATGATGAGGTGCAGGTGCGCTGGAGGTGATTAGGGTGCGTTGGGTTTCCATTCCGGTGTTGCTGAGGTGGTGCGCTCAGACCGGTGGCTCAGTAGACCGGCGAATCAGAGCGCCGGAGGGGAGCAACGGGAGGAGACGTGACACCTACAGTGAGGGAAAAAAGTATTTGATCCCCTGCTGATTTTGTACGTTTGCCCACTGACAAAGAAATGATCAGTCTATCATTGTAATGGAAGGGTTTGCAGAGATGGTTGTCCTTCTGGAAGGTTCTCCCATCTCCACAGAGGAACTCTGAAGCTCTGTCTGAGTGACCATCAGGTTCTTGTCCCTGACCAAGGCCCTTCTCCGATTTCTCAGTTTGGCCAGGCGGCCAGCTCTAGGAAGCGTCTTGGTGGTTCCAAACTTCTTCCATTTAAGAATGATGGAGGCCACTGTGTTCTTGGGGACCTTCAATGCTGCAGACATTTTTTGGTACCCTTCCCCAGATCTGTGCCTCGACACAATCCTGTCTCTGCGCTCTAAGGACAATTCCTTCGACCTCATGGCTTGGTTGTTTGCTCTGACATACACTGTCAACTGTGGGACCTTATATAGACAGGTGTGTGCCTTTCCAAATCATGACCAATCAAGGAAGAACGACAGCATCAAAGGCCTTGGATAGGTCTATAAATATGTCAGCACAGTGATCTAAGCAATTAATAAATTAATTAGGCCCTAATCAATGGATTTCATATGACTGGGAATACAGATATGCATCTGTTGGTCACAGATACTGACTTTTTATTTTAAAGGTATCTGGTGTGACCACCATTTGCCTCATGCAACGTGACACATCTCCTTTGCATAGAGTTGATCAGGCTGTTGATTGTGGCCTGTGGAATGTTGTCCCACTCCTCTTCAATGGCTGTGCCAAGTTGCTGGATATTGGCGGGAACTGGAACACGCTGTCGTACACGTCGATCCAGAGCATCCCAAACATGGTTAACAGGTGACATGTCTGGTGAGTATGCAGGCAATGGAAGAACTGGGAAATTTTCAGCTTCCAGGAATTGTGTACAGATCCTTGTGACATAGTGCAGTGCATTATCATGCTGAAACATGAGGTGATGGCGGCGGATGAATGGCATGACAATGGGCCTTTGGTTCTCATCACAGTATCTCTGTGCATTCAAATTGCCATCGATAAAATGCAATTGTGTTCATTGTCCGTAGCTGACGCCTGCCCATACCATAACCCCGGTGCCACCATGGGGCACTCTGTTCACAACGTTGACATCAGCAAACCACTCGCCCACACGACGTCATGTCTGCCATCTGCCCGGTACAGTTGAAACCGGGTTTCATCCGTGAAGAGCACACTTCTCCAGCGTGCCAGTGGCCATCGAAGGTGAGCAGTTGCCCACTGAAGTCGGTTACGACGCCGAACTGCAGTCAGGTCAAGACCCTGGTGAGGACGACGAGCACGCAGATGAGCTTCCCTGAGACGGTTTCTGACAGTTTGTGCAGAAATCCTTCGGTTGTACAAACCCACAGTTTCATCAGCTGTCCGGGCGGCTGGTCTCAGACGATCCCGCAGGTGAAGAAGCCGGATGTGGAGGTCCTGGGCTTGTTCCATGTAGAACCCTTTCCACAGAGGGTTCTACATGGAATCCAAAAGGGTTCTCCTGTGGGGACAGCCAAAGAACCCTTCTGGAATCCTTTTGTCTAAGAGTGCAGCACAAGGTGCAGCTGTGTAATGATCATGCTGTTCAATCAGCTAGTTGATATGCCACACCTGTTAGGTGGGTGGATTATCTTGGCAAAGGAGAAATGTTCACTAACAGGGATGTAAACAAATTTGTGAGAAAAATAAGCTTTCTGTGCGTCTGGAACATTTCTGGGATCTTTTATTTCAGCTCATGAAACATGTAAGCAAGACTTTACATGTTGCGTTTACATTTTTGTTCAGTGTAATATATCATTTAAGACTGCTGAAACGGTGCCAGGTCCAGGTCTATAACCAGACTGGTACACATTAAGAATACAATTTGAAGTTTAAAAAGTTATTAGCTGAGAGTTGATTCTAATATGTTTGCAAGGCAAGATAGTTTAGAAATTGGGCGGTAGTTATCTAGGTCAGAAGGATCTCCACCTTTTGTAAATTGGGAGGACATTCGCCACCTTCCAGAGTTTAGGGATTGGGTGGTAGGGATTCCAGAGCGTAGGGATTGGGCAGTAGGGATTCCAGAGCGTAGGGATTGGGCGGTAGGAATTCCAGAGCGTAGGGATTGGGCGGTAAGGGTTCCAGAGCGTAGGGATTGGGCGGTAGGGATTCCAGAGCGTAGGGATTGGGCGGTAGGGATTCCAGAGCGTAGGGATTCCAGAGCGTAGGGATTGGGTGGTAGGGATTCCAGAGCGTAGGGATTGGGCGGTAGGGATTCCAGAGTGTAGGGATTGGGCGGTAGGGATTCCAGAGCGTAGGGATTGGGCGGTAGGGATTCCAGAGCGTAGGGATTGGGCGGTAGGGATTCCAGAGCGTAGGGATTCCAGAGCGTAGGGATTGGGTGGTAGGGATTCCAGAGCGTAGGGATTGGCGGTAGGGATTCCAGAGCGTAGGGATTGGGGTGGTAGGGATTCCAGAGCGTAGGATTGGGGGAGGCGGTAGGGATTCCAGAGCGTAGGGATTGGGCGGTAGGGATTCCAGAGCGTAGGGATTGGGCGGTAGGATTCCAGAGCGTAGGGATTGGGCGGTAGGATTCCAGAGCGTAGGATTGGGCGGTAGGGATTCCAGAGGTAGGGGATTGGGCGGTAGGGATTCCAGAGCGTAGGGATTGGGCGGTAGGGATTCCAGAGCGTAGGGATTGGGCGGTAGGGATTCCAGAGCGTAGGGATTGGGCGGTAGGGATTCCAGAGCGTAGGGATTGGGCGGTAGGGATTCCAGAGCGTAGGGATTCAGAGGGGGATTGGGTGGTAGGGATTCCAGAGCGTAGGGATTGGGCGGTAGGATTCCAGAGCGTAGGGGAGTGGGCGGTAGGATTCCAGAGCGTAGGGATTGGGCGGTAGGGATTTCCAGAGCGTAGGGATTGGGCGGTAGGGATTCCAGAGCGTAGGGATTGGGCGGTAGGGATTCCAGAGCGTAGGGATTGGGCGGTAGGGATTCCAGAGCGTAGGGATTGGGCGGTAGGGATTCCAGAGCGTAGGGATTGGGCGGTAAGGGTTCCAGAGCGTAGGGATTGGGCGGTAGGGATTCCAGAGCGTAGGGATTGGGCGGTAGGGATTCCAGAGCGTAGGGATTGGGCGGTAGGGATTCCAGGCGTAGGGATTGGGGTAGGATTCCAGAGCGTAGGGATTGGGCGGTAGGGATTCCAGAGCGTAGGGATTGGGGCGGTAGGGATTCCAGAGCGTAGGATTGGGCGGTAGGATTCCAGAGCGTAGGGATTGGACGGTAGGGATTCCAGAGCGTAGGGATTGGGCGGTCGGGATTCCAGAGTGTAGGGATTGGTCGGTAGGATTCAGAGCGTAGGGATGGGCGGTAAAGGTTTCCAGAGCGTAGGGATTGGGCGGTAGGGATCCAGAGCGTAGGGATTGGGCGGTAGGGATTCCAGAGCGTAGGGATTGGGATGGTAGGGATTCCCAGAGCGTAGAGGATTGGGCGGTAGGGATTCCAGAGCGTAGGGATTGGGCGGTAGGGATAGCACCAGAAGCAATCTGCAGTAAAAAGGGATCAAGCAAATCAGCTCCTATAGATTTTTTTACATCCATTTTTTGGAAGGTACATTATTGACATAAAATGGTTCAAATGAATTTTTTAAAAATGTACTGCCTGGAAGGGCATCATTCTCTGCTATTTGTTTAGAGGTGAATAAAGGACTCTCTCTAGCGGAACTTGAGGTATTTTCTGAAACCATTCTTTCAAATAGGTGGTCAGCTGAGAGAAAATGGTTATTAACCTCTTAAACATAATGGCAAAATGTAGATTTCCGCCTAAATAGACATACCCAAAAGTAACTGCTTTTCATGCGTAATTACATGATCCTGACATGCCAAAACTTGGTATATTTGGAAAGAAGACATCTGGGAGATGATGACGAAATGATCAGAAGATAGATAGGAGTTACATAGATCAGAATACACAAGATCAAACACACACAAAATAACAGTTTTTCTATTTTGAAAGTCATCTTTCTGTGACAAGCTATAAGTGAATTATTGATTCCCAGAGCTGGAAACACATCGGATGGCTTCCACAACATGTGAACAATATCATTAAAAAAGGGATTGATAGACCTAACAACTAGAAACGGGCAGATGTTTTAGTAAGTGATGTCAGGTGTGGTCACGGGACGTTTCCAAGTGTCCCTAAACCTCTCCAAAGTGCCATACGTCTGTAAACTAGATAATTCCAGTGCTATTACACATTTGCAACCCCTAAATGCTATTTGTTCAGTTTAAAAAACACAATTTCTACCATATTAACCTCACTCAAACATTGTGGTGTCCTTTCAACCTCTCTGAAATGTCCGAATGTGGTAATTGCACTGTTTTTGCCCACTGGATGTGCCTAAAAGTTATTGTTCACTATAAAAACTACATTTCTACAACACCAACCTCTCAAACATTGTGGTGGTGTCGGGGGACGTACAGGGGATATCCAAGTGTTTTATCATCCTCTCCCAAGTGCCTGAACGTTTAGCCTAGGCATATCCAATGTATTGGTCCCACATACAAATGAACTGTTTACAAAAACAATATAAAAAGCAACAGATATACATAAAAAATATATAAAAATGTCTTAGAAAACACAAACTTGGTTACACACGTGTCCTTCACTAAAAAAGGAGCAGAAATATAAATAAGCTGAACTATTTATAAATGGAATTTGTGTTCGTTTTAAATCCCAGGTGTAGATGATTAGATTTCACTTTTACAGTAGCTTGTGGATGTCCTGATAGTCTTTGAAGCAGTCCCTCTCTGCCAGGAAACAAAAAGCGAACTGGCATTTCGGACAGAAGATCTGGCATTTCACCCTTTCCCCCCCCCCTGTGTTTTGTGCAGTTCTGTCTTTTGGCATGTGTGTTGGATAGCACCTTGAGTGGGGGGTCTTGTGATGGTTGTGAGGTTGCCTTGGGCCCCAATTCAGCCATTTCCAACAGCAGCTGCTCTCGGAAGGCCAACTGGGCGAGAGGGGTTTGACCTTTTGCTTTGGTCATCTGCTTGTGGAGAATGAACACATTTACTGTAGCAATGTCCACAAAGTGGTAGAACAGTCTTATACCACTTCCTGGTCTTGTGGAGGACCTTGTAGTAGCCTATCAGAGATCAGATAGGTCTACACACCCCCATGCTGGCATTGCAGTCCTTCACAGAAACGGGGACATTCTTCCTTTTCACCCTCCTTGAGACATGGTCGTTGAATGCCTTATGCTGCATGGTTACTTCCCTAGTGTCCTTCCATTTCACAACAAGCAGCTTGTTAGTCCTGATGTATGGTCCCCCTCGCCGCTGTCTTGGTCATGTGGTTTACCTTGGTCTTGGGGAAACCCATTCTGATAGGAGGACAAGCCCCTCTCCGCTGTCTTTATGGCCCCTATGTTCTTTTTCTATGAAAAGTGGATGTAGAACCATCAGACGGGTGATTGACATAGCAGTGTCCCCTGTAGCTCAGTTGGTAGAGCATGGCGCTTGCAACGCCAGGGTTGTGGGTTTGTTTCCCACGGGGGGCCAGTATGAAAATGTATGCACTCACTAACTGTAAATCGCTCTGGATAAGGATAAATGACTAAAATGTAAGACTCAAATGTCATCATCCAAATCCTCTGCATCCTCCACTGTGGTGAATAAAATAAAGGGATGTTGGTGTAAGACACAGAATTGCAGTTGACTACATTTACAAAACGACATTACTGTAAAGTAAAAACACCAAGCCTAAACTTTATCTGTACAGTGACTCACATAGAATGCAAACAGTAACACTTTGGAGACAGAGGTGAGAACCACAAATAAACATTTGTACATTTACATTTTAGTAGACGCTCTTATCCAGAGCGACTTACAGGAGCAATTAGGGTTAAGTGCCTTGCTCAAGGGCACATCGACAGATTTTTCACCTAGTCGGCTCGGGGATTAGAACCAGCGACCTTTCGGTTACTGGCACAACGCTCTTAACCACTAAGCTACCTGCCGCCCTCTTTACAAGCTGCAAGTCATTTAAAGCTACTGTAGCGGGAGTCAACACACACCTTAATTACTGTTCATACATATTATTACACAAACAGTCTCCAGTTGGCCTTCGCTTTGAGGCTTCTCGTATACAGACACACACGGCAGTTGAATACATACAAACAATGGCCATGAGAGTTTAGTGGCCTCTCCAAAGGTACACGGATGAAACTTAGAACAGCAAGCAGTCAACTAATATGAAAACATAGACGATTACTACTTTGGAATTATAGAACATTGATATTACTTGTAAACTAAATCCAATGCACAAAAAGCAGACTAAATACATATAGTAAATTAGCTATATAAAGTCATTCAATTAATTTACTTACAGATCTAAAAGTGGATCCAATCCTTCTAGAAAGCAATCTTCGTCGGCCGAGTCGAAATCCTCGTTGTCCAAATTGCTCCCCTGATCCGAGTCCGACTCCAGTATTTTATTCAAAGCTTCTATGTCGGTATAATTATTCATAGCTGCCTTCTTTTTAGCTTCCTGTTCGATAGCCTTAGTTTTTACACCCCCTTGAGAAGCTAAAGAGAGGAAATTAAAGCGATGAAATCTGTTGACAATGTAATTGAGCCAGGTAGCAATAGTTCGCATTACGCAGGTTCTAGGCCTTGGGTTCTAGGCCTTGCTTTGTCCCACCCAGGTCAACTGCATATCCCTGGAAAGCTTATCTCATTGGCTACAAGACTGTCAAGGTGCCATAGTAGCCAATCCCCTGTGTAATGGATGCCTTCAGCGCGTAAGCAGGCAACGTCATATTGTTGATGCACAAAGGTATAGTCACTCGGTGGACATTCGATGTTGCCATTAAGTCATACATCATCAGATAACATTGGCAATAGGTTAGATGTGTTCCTACCAATCTAAGGATTAATTTCATACCCCCCATGTAGCTATAGCTCAAACACAGACCAAATCGAAGCTTACCTTGTAAGATGTTTGCTGTTTGGTGAAACGTTGTGTAAAATAAACATTTTGACTCTCGGGGCTGGTGATCAATAACGGCAGGTCACAGGCAGACAAATAAGACCTCCTCGTGATCTGTGGAGTCGCGGCGTTCGGTGTGTATCAACGTAGTCCGTGTTTATTTCCTTTATGCTTCACAACACTAACCGGAATGTAGGTAGCAGCCGTATTGAAATGAGGTCATCGGCTCGGCCTGTCTTTATACATTCGTATGCCCATACATGGTAGTAAGTCATACCTAAGGTTTGAAGGTACCGATCAATAGCCAAGATACTCAGCTTTCTGCAGACACCCTGCTTTTTGCAGATAGGTGCTACCGTTCTCATACCAGACTGAATTGAATAAAACAAATCTAATAGGGTTATTACATTTAAGAGGTTAAAACCACCACAAATTGTATTTTTGTCTGTTATGGGACCAGAAATGGTCCTAATCTGCTGGGGCAATGAGGGTGTGGAGTTTGACTGATTGATTGACTGACTGAATTTGATCTGCTACTGGTTCCAATGTGTTTGTCTAAAGTTAATGATGACATGTTCACCCAAAAAAATTAACTTGTGGTTTTCGACATGCTATTTTTTCACTATTTGCTGAAAAAACTCCAGGATTAGGAGAAATGCCCCTAACATTCAAGCCATCTGTAATATCTTCCCCTTTGACAGAGCAGGATGTTTTTACTTACTCAGTATGGGGTACATGAGCAGCACCTTCCTCCTGTTTATGTCTGGGGGGAACTTAGCATAGTAGACCTTAGCCTCCTGGGTCTCTTCATCACTCTGGATCAGGATCTTCCCCATGCGGATGGACCTACAGCAGTCCCTCAGACCCTGCTCCATGCGGATGGACCTACAGCAGTCCCTCAGACCCTGCTCCATGCGGATGGACCTCAGACCCTGCTCCATGCGGATGGACCTCAGACCCTGCTCCATGCGGATGGACCTACAGCAGTCCCTCAGACCCTGCTCCATGCGGATGGACCTACAGCAGTCCCTCAGACCCTGCTCCATGCGGATGGACCTACAGCAGTCCCTCAGACCCTGCTCCATGCGGATGGACCTACAGCAGTCCCTCAGACCCTGCTCCATGTGGATGGACCTCAGACCCTGCTCCATGCAGATGGACCTACAGCAGTCCCTCAGACCCTGCTCCATGCGGATGGACCTACAGCAGTCCCTCAGACCCTGCTCCATGCGGATGGACCTCAGAACCCTGCTCCATGGGATGGACCTCAGACCCTGACTGCTCATGGGATGGACTAGAGCCTCAGACCCTGCTCCATGTGGATGGCCTACCGCCAGTACCTCAGACCCTGCTCCATGGGGCAGAGTCTGACTGCCATGGATGGACCTACAGCAGTCCCTCAGACCTGCTCATGCGGATGGACCTACAGCAGTCCTCAGACCCTGCTCCATGGGATGGACCTCAGACCCTGCTCCATGCGAGACCTCAGACCTACCTACGGGAGGACTACACAGTCCCTCAGACCCTGCTCCATGCGGATGGACCTCAGACCCTGCTCCATGCGGATGGACCTCAGACCCTGCTCCATGGCTCCCCATGGATGGACCTACAGCAGTCCCTCAGACCCTGCTCCATGCGGATGGACCTCAGACCCTCATGCGATGACCTCAGACCCTGCTCCATGCGGATGGACCTACAGCAGTCCCTCAGACCCTGCTCCATGCGGATGGACCTACAGCAGTCCCTCAGACCCTGCTCCATGCGGATGGACCTACAGCAGTCCCTCAGACCCTGCTCCATGCGGATGGACCTCAGACCCTGCTCCATGCGGATGGACCTCAGACCCTGCTCCATGTGGATGGACCTCAGACCCTGCTCCATGTGGATGGACCTCAGACCCTGCTCCATGTGGATGGACCTACAGCAGTCCCTCAGACCCTGCTCCATGCGGATGGACCTCAGACCCTGCTCCATTGCGGATGGACCTACAGCAGTCCCCTCAGACCCTGCTCCATGCGGATGGACCTCAGACCCTGCTCCATGGGGATGGACCTACAGCAGTCCCTCAGACCCTGCTCCATGCGGATGGACCTACAGCAGTCCCTCAGACCCCTGCTCCATGCGGATGGACCTACAGCAGTCCCTCAGACCCTGCTCCATGCGGATGGACCTACAGCAGTCCCTCAGACCCTGCTCCATGTGGATGGACCTCAGACCCTGCTCCATGCGGATGGACCTACAGCAGTCCCTCAGACCCTGCTCCATGCGGATGGACCTCAGACCCCCTGCTCCATGGGATGGACCTCAGACCCTGCTCCATGGCCTCACTGCAGGATGGACCTACAGCACTGTCCATCGAGACCCATGCTCCCATGTGGATGGACCTCAGACCCTGCTCCATGTGGATGGACCTCAGACCCTGCTCCATGCGGATGGACCTCAGACCCTGCTCCATGCGGATGGACCTCAGACCCTGCTCCATGCGGATGGACCTCAGACCCTGCTCCATGCGGATGGACCTCAGACCCTGCTCCATGCGGATGGACCTCAGACCCTGCTCCATGTGGATGGACCTCAGACCCTGCTCCATGCGGATGGACCTACAGCCGTCCCTCAGACCCTGCTCCATGTGGATGGACCTCAGACCCTGCTCCATGTGGATGGACCTCAGACCCTGCTCCATGCGGATGGACCTCAGACCCTGCTCCATGTGGATGGACCAACTACAGCAGTCCCTCAGACCCTGCTCCATGGGATGGACCTACAGCACCCTCGCCACTGCTCCATGCGGATGGACCTACAGCAGTCCCTCAGACCCTGCTCCATGTGGATGGACCTCAGACCCTGCTCCATGCGGATGGACCTACAGCAGTCCCTCAGACCCTGCTCCATGCGGATGGACCTCAACCCTGCTCCATGGCCTCACCTGAAGGATGGACCTACAGCAGTCCCTCAGACCCTGCTCCATGTGGATGGACCTCAGACCCTGCTCCATGGCCTCACCTGAAGGATGGACCTACAGCAGTCCCTCAGACCCTGCTCCATGCGGATGGACCTACAGCAGTCCCTCAGACCCTGCTCCATGCGGATGGACCTCAGACCCTGCTCCATGCGGATGGACCTCAGACCCTGCTCCATGGCCTCACCTGAAGGATGGACCTACAGCAGTCCCTCAGACCCTGCTCCATGTGGATGGACCTCAGACCCTGCTCCATGTGGATGGACCTCAGACCCTGCTCCATGTGGATGGACCTACAGCAGTCCCTCAGACCCTGCTCCATGTGGATGGACCTCAGACCCTGCTCCATGTGGATGGACCTCAGACCCTGCTCCATGCGGATGGACCTACAGCAGTCCTTCAGACCCTGCTCCATGCGGATGGACCTCAGACCCTGCTCCATGCGGATGGACCTACAGCAGTCCCTCAGACCCTGCTCCATGCGGATGGACCTCAGACCCTGCTCCATGCGGATGGACCTACAGCAGTCCCTCAGACCCTGCTCCATGCGGATGGACCTACAGCAGTCCCTCAGACCCTGCTCCATGCGGATGGACCTACAGCAGTCCCTCAGACCCTGCTCCATGCGGATGGACCTCAGACCCTGCTCCATGCGGATGGACCTCAGACCCTGCTCCATGCGGATGGACCTCAGACCCTGCTCCATGCGGATGGACCTCAGACCCTGCTCGATGGCTTCACCTGAAGGATGCACAGACACAGGTCCCTAGAGAGGGCAGTTATATGAAAGAACTTGAAAGAACCAGAACAGGATATCATCTGTTTCAGTAGAAACCAGAAAGGTTATTGTCTTTGACTCACCACTCCTCGTGGTGCTGACTCCATAATTACCTCTCTCAAACTTTACACCTTCATACATGTGTCGTGGAGAGAGCAGTATGATCTCTATTATTGAATCTCTTGATCCTCTCCCTGATAATACCTTGTTAGTTACTTTTGATGTTGAGTCGTTATACACTAATATTCCACAAGAGGGCGGTATTGAAGCCATGGAACATTTTCTTCTGCAACGTGACCCAGATGAACTACCTTCCAGTGCATGCATTATAACATTGGCTGAAATAGTAACCACACACAACTACATCATGTTTTAAAATATTTATTTATTCAGACGAAGGGTACAGCTATGGGATCCCCTATGGCTACTAACTATGATAATTTGTTTGTGGGTTACATTGAGAAACAGTAAATTTTCTTGCCTAACATTATTATTAGGAAACGGTACATTGATGATCTTTTTGTCCTATGGAGGGGTGATTCAAAACAGCTCCAGGCATTCCATGCTTTTCTCAACTCTTGTTCTGAGCACCTGAGATTTACTATGCAATCTGACACACGTCAAATCAGTTTCCTTGATCTTCTGATTTTGTGTGAGGATAATGTTCTATACACTGATCTTTACAGGAAACCTACTGATCGTAACAGTTTGTTGAGGGCTGATAGTTGTCACCCGCTTCCCTTGAAAAACAGTTTGCCCTACAGCCAATTCTGTCATCAAAATAATTGGTAAAAAACAGATTTTGACCAAAATATGGCTGCGACGCAAAGACAATTCAAGGAGAGGGGGTAGAACAATGGTCAGATTAATACTGCCAGTGAGAAAATTCAAAACAAATCGAGACTTGACCTCTTTCAAGAACAGTCTCACAAAAAGAAGCATTCTTGCTTCTAACTACACGCTATTCAAAGTGCTCTGAACAAATTAAAGGAATCGTTCACAAACATTGGCACATTCTAAGATCCGATGACAGTATTGGTAATGTGTTTTCGGACCCTCCCTTGGTTGTATTCTCGCGGGGCAGAAACCTCAGAGATCAATTGGTAAACTCGGAATTACCACCCCAAAATACACCCGCACAAGGTCTATTTGCGCCTCTACCGGATGGAAACTACAAGTGTAACGGCTGCGCTCAATGCAATGGCACTTACAAATGTAGATCCTTTAAACACCCCCAAACAGGGAAATAGATCCCAATCAAAGGTGTTATTACGTGCTCCACTAAGGAAGTTATTTATCTTATAACTTGTCCTTGTGGTAAAATATTGTGGGTAAAACAAAGCGCGAATTAAAAGTACTAATCTCGGAGCATCGTAGCACCATTAGGTGCAAAAACTCGACATACCCAGTCGCTGCCCACTTTTTGGAAGCGAACCACTCGATTTCGTCCCTACGTTATATCGGCATCGAACATGTCACCCTCCCTAGGAGAGGGGGTGACCTCGACAATTTCTGGTTAAAACGAGAGGCTGCCTGGATCTTTAATTTAAAGACCCTTGCTCTCTTCGGTCTCAACGTAGACTTTGATCTGACGCCATTCTTGTGATTATTGTGATTTTGCTATCCATTGTAAATGTTTGTGGGCCTATGTAGCCAAATTGTATCTATGATCGTATGCTATCTATTCATGTTTTTTGTATGTTCTGTTTATCTGTGAATTAACCAATGATATCAGGCCACACCCGGCCATGATTACAGACACCTGCGTGTGTCCTTTGACACTATATAAACTAGTGACCCGCAGTGTTTGTCATTATACCCTGATGAAGACAGCTTGTCTGTCAAAACGTTGGTTATAAGGATATTAAATTATTCCCTCTGAGCTCCTAGTGTCCTTTTCTTTTTCAAGTGTTCTACTCCGTTCGCCAGCACCTCGCCTAAATAGGTGTGCATTTTTTTCACCTCCATATTACCCAGCTGGCCCTACATTAACTAAGACATGCTACCCAGCTGGCCCTACATTAACTAAGACATGCTACCCAGCTGGCCCTAACATTAACTAAGACATGCTACCCAGCTGGCCCTAACATTAACTAAGACATGCTACCCAGCTGGCCCTAACATTAACTAAGACATGCTACCCAGCTGGCCCTAACATTAACTAAGACATGCTACCCCAGCTGGCCCTACATTAACTAAGACATTGCTACCCAGCTGGCCCCTAACATTAACTAAGACATGCTACCCAGCTGGCCCTAACATTAACTAAGACATGCTACCCAGCTGGCCCTACATTAACTAAGACATGCTACCCAGCTGGCCCCTACATTAACTAAGACATGCTACCCGGCTGGCCCTACATTAACTAAGACATGCTACCCAGCTGGCCCTACATTAACTAAGACATGCTACCCAGCTGGCCCTACATTAACTAAGACATGCTACCCAGCTGGCCCTAACATTAACTAAGACATGCTACCCAGCTGGCCCTAACATTAACTATGACATGCTACCCAGCTGGCCCTAACATTAACTAAGACATGCTACCCAGCTGGCCCTACATTAACTAAGACATGCTACCCCAGCTAGGGCCCCTAACATTAACTAAGACATGCTACCCAGCTGGCCCTAACATTAACTAAGACATGCTACCCAGCTGGCCCTAACATTAAGTAAAACACGCTACACAGCTGACCCTCCTTTTCTTTTCCTGGAGAGAGATGAAGCAAAATGTTTTCAGCAGCAGCAGCATGTGGATAGTGTGTAGGGGTTGGCGTGTAGAGGTCAGGGTCAGCATGTAGAGGCTAGGGGTCAGTATGGGGTTGAGTGAGAGGGTGTCAGCCTCACCCGTACTGTAGGAGTGGTGACAGTGAGTAGGGGTTAGGGGTTAGGGGTCACTACCTTTAGGAGTGGTGACAGTGCGTAGGGGTTAGGGGTTAGGGGTCACTACCTTTAGGAGTGGGTGACAGTGAGTAGGGGTTAGGG